TTGTTAGAGGAAACTGCATATAAAATCTACCATTTATGCTTTTTTCATCGTTTGCTTAATATTTTCTTTTACTAAGCTAGAAACACTAATTAGAAATAGTTCCCGCATCATCGTCAAGAACAATAGGAAAGGCTTGAAGTGAATACAATAATCTAAATGGTTTTGTAATCTATGTGAAGACACTTCTAAAATTGCCTGTAGAAATATTGAAGGCAAAAGTTCAACTTTTTCACAAGACGGATGTCTATAAACTTATTCAACGTGTGACAACTCAGCCGGTATTTCGTCGCCTACAGCCAAGCTTTCCCTAGTGACCGATAGAGGCGCTGCTATCGATGTCCGCCCGTGCCGCCTAACGAGGAAAAATAAAATGGGAAATCATTGGAAGGTGGCACACTACCTTTAAAGTGAAGTTCATGTCTGATATCCTTTAATCTTTCTTGATGCAATCCTGCTAGCTTACACCGCAAATGTGTTTCATAATTTTTAAATAGCATATGCCTAACTTTTAGCGGGATGCCTAAGCCTCGGCATCGAAAGGTTACGAGGGACGCTATTTTCAAGCTAGGTGAAGGGCATGACTGAGCTATGCAGTGGGTAAGATTTTTGGTGGCTCATATTTAAACTCCGGACAATATTAGCCGTTTTCACGACGGTCTCTCCGGCGTGTGCACCTTATTTGACCAAAGCTGCACCTAATCTTTTTTACAGCAAACATCTTCATTTTATGAATTTATTTCAGTGTCATAATCGATGATGCTCTCTAATAATACAACAAAGCAGGCATATCAGCAATTAGTTTAACCCTAGCTGATAGCTACTAAGAGACACACTGAACCTGATTTGACCAAATCTCCACCTGATTTGCACCAGATGTGCATCAAATGTGTACCAGATGGCCGTCGTGAAACGGCTATACTGAACCTGATTTGACCAAATCTCCACCTGATTTGCACCAGATGTGCACCAAATGTGTGCCAGATGGCCGTCGTGAAAACGGCTATAAGTCCGTTTTTCTTATCTTTAGACTTCACTCCAAGATGTTTCGCAAGATATGCACGAGACAAAGCATGGCTTAGAAAAAATCAAGCCCTTCGGAAACAGAAAATATTGCCTTGAAGCCTGGAAGCCTGGAGAGTGGCGCTCTTGGGTGCGGCAAGTGCAGATTTGTAGTCTCACAAATGTGTATTACATAAATAGGTAGGTACTTATACCTACCTGCTACAAAAATTAAGTTGGATAAAGTTTGGTATGCTAACCGAACTATCGATCCGATGAATTAAAGGGTACCTATAAAAGCGAATATCACTTGGAAATGAACTATTCTGCAAATGGACACAAGTCATCATCAGTGACTTTAGTTCAAGACCTATAGGGCTTGGTTCCAGCCGAAGTTTTTTGAAACCGCAGGTGCGTGCGACTGCGAGTGCGGAACCAATGCAAGGAAATTCTTGAAGGAGCTCGGCGTGTGGCTCGTAACAAGTTCTGGCGACTGTCGTGAAGCACTTGGTTTGTGGTTCGCTATCGCAGACATTTGAGTGAACGCGTTTTCGATAGTATTGACTGTGACGTTGTAATCCTCACGAAGTATCATGTGGACGGGTTAGACTGCGTGACGAGAGGCGGAGATGAATTATGCCTGTGGAGGTAGGCAACCCGCAGGACATGCGTGTTCAGCGGCGCAGGCTACCAACACGAGTTGGCTATATGAGCGTGTGTTTAGCGATGAATGCAGCATTGATCGAAATTAACAAATATACATACTATTTCAATGTGATGACATGTTTTGCTCGTATTACCCGCTAGTGTCTACAAATCTACCACCAGTAACTCGTAATACAAATTACAAAAGACAGGAAACACAGGAGTCGTACTCGTATATTGGGTATGTTTGGTTCACCGAAGCCATCGTAGGTCCCATGCGCCCTCAATCACTTTCACTGTCACTGTCGTCACTGCTCGAATCCTGAAGTGACACGATCACTGGCTCGATGTCCTCCATCATACCATCTGCTCGCCAGTACACCTCTTCCAGTTCTCGCACGTGGCGGCAGCAGTTTCGCCACAAGTCCGGTGGCGCGGCGTCTCGGCTATCCAGCAGCAGCCTTTCCACGTCATTCAGATGCCCAGTGTTGTTGAACTGGCGGACGTGCGTCTTCATGTTTGCCCAAACCATTTCAATCGGATTGAGGTCGCAATGATATGGGGGCAACCTCAGTAGGTACTTCATGACCGGCCTCCTGTGCCACCTTGTCCAACACATACTCGCGTGTCTGTTTCAGAGGGCGAACCAGCTCAAGAAGCTCGACCTTCCGCAAGTCCGGATCAGGATTGACATCATGTACCCGCAGCCATTCTTGGATCGCTTCCTTCCTCCAGCTAGCTGTAGGTGCCTTGTTAGCACATCTTGAATGATACGAGGCGTTATCCATAATGATCACGCTATTCGCTGGCAGGTTCGGCAGAAGTTGGGGTCGAAACCAGTCCTCGAAACAGCTCGCGTTCATAGACGTGTGATAGTCGGCAGACTTGCCGTCCGTCCTCATACACATGAATGCTCCTGGGGTGAAGCCGCTGTCCGAGCCAGCATCGACTATGATTAGGCGCTTGCCCTTCCCTGTCACTGGCTTATGGCCGGCCACGTCGTCACTGTCCAACCACGCGACCGTTCGCATATCAAACTGGTTATACCAGGTCTCGTCCAAGTACACTATAGTGCGCTCTGGGTCGGAGCTTCTAATCTTCCGAATGCGTCTCAGGAACGCGTTCCGGGCTGCCACCACCTGAGGTTTTTCAACCAGCAGCTTTCGGTTGTTCACTTGTCGGAACTTGAATCCTATTTGGAACAGCTGCTTTCGTATGGTTGAGCGTGAGATAGTCTGCTCGAACTTGTCCTGAACTGCCGCTCTAATGGTGTCCAAAGTGACCTTTTTCCCTTCCAGGTACATGGCATGCACCATTCTTCTGAACGCACACTGGTCAAACTCGTCGAAGTACTCGCGTGGCCCCCTGTTAGGGCGCTGGCGGGCTGGAGACTGGCATCCATGTGTCTCTATTCCACTCTTGAATGCATTAACAGAGGCAATCGACACTCCAGTAGCAGAGCTGGTCTCCTTCGCTACGTTAATGCTAGCCGCTGCACTCTCATCACCTTGCTTGAGGTATTCATCTTTCTTTCGAATAAAATATTGGTAAACATTATAAACCACTTGTCTCGCTTGTGCACCGATCGGTTTTCCTTGCCGAAGTTTTGAGAGCATTGCATATTATTGTATACGAATGGATATAAATTTCAAAAGATATATAAAAGTCTCAGATTTCCTTGATACACAGCAGACATATGGTGTGTTCGCTTTTAGAGCCAGTGGCAATGAGCGTGACGCTTGATTTTTATTATCAAATTGTGTGACGTCACGTGCTAAGTTATCTGCACATCTTGGAGTGAAGTCTAAAGATAAGAAAAACGGACTATATTGTTCACTCCCACGTAGTCTGGCCGCGACTTCGACTCCGACCCCGTAAACCTGTTAGTACCGGGAGTTCCTAAATAAACAGTCGTATGTAAAAGCTGTATATTATCAGCATGGAAGGCATGACAAAAACGAATCACTTTCTAACATACACAATAGTCGATGCCATTTCACGTGATACCATCTTCTTTTTGCTGTCTCTTCATTTGCGGCCACAGAGGACGTGTTCCAGATGAGCCCCCTCTCGCTCCACACACAGCTCTGCGCGTCGCCGAGCGGACTCCACCGCAGCCCGGCAGATCTCCGGCCGCACTCGGCGCACCGCGGACGACACGGCCCTCTTGAGGTCATCTGTGGTTCTGGGGTTGCTTTTGTAGACCTGTGACTTCAGGTGACCCCAGAGAAAGAAGTCAAGTGGGGTCAGATCCGGAGAGTGCGGGGGCCAGGTCCGCACCTCTCTGCGGGAGATAACCCGCGAACCGAATCGGTTCCGCAGCCATTCTCGAGTCGCAACGGCCGTGTGCGCCGAGGCTCCGTCTTGTTGGAACCATTGTTGGTCCATCAGCTGCCTGTCTCCACCCAGCCGCCTGTTCAGCGCAGTCCAGAACTTGGCTAGGACTTGCCGGTAGCGCTGAGCGTTGACGGTGACAGACTCCCCAGCGTCGTTCTCAAACCAGAAAGGTCCGATTATGCCACTGCTGCTCATTGCACACCAGGCTGTGCACTTCACACTGTGCAGAGGGGCTTCCGCGACCAAATCGGGTGGCTCCGTCGACCAGAATCGAAAATTCTGGGAGTTCACGCGGCCATCCATATGAAAATGGGCTTCGTCGCTGAACCAGATTCGGTGAAGGAACTCATTGTCCTGCTCGCAATTTCTCAAAAACCAGCCGCTGTAAAGAAGCCGTGACTGTTTGTCGACTTTCGACAGTGCTTGGTGAACGGAGACCTTATACGGGAACAGCTGAACGTCGTTTCTGGCCAAACGGTGAGCGGTGGTTTTGCTACAGCCCAGTTCCTGGCCCAGCCGTCTGAGCGACTTTTGTGGGCTCCTCTGGAGGGCTTCTCGTGCCTTTTGGGCGTTTAAAGGCGTCCTCTTGGTTCTTTTTCGGCCACATTTGCCCTTTTTTACGTTCTCCACACTACCTCTTGCCAAAAACTTCTCAACTATACTTAAAATGACGGTTCTTGATGGCACTTGGGTCCTTTTTAAGTGTCGGCGTAGCTTACGTTGTGTTGCAACGATTGACTTTGTCTCAAAATAGAAATGTACTATTTTTGTTTTTATGTCTGTACTATACGGCTGCATGATAGAAAGTGATTGATTTTGGTATGAAATAAAATGGCATTGCACGTGCTATCATCACGTGCAATTTGATTGTTGTGATTTTGTTAGTTGACGCCACTAGAAGCAAAAATAATTCGACTGTTTATTTAGGAACTCCCGGTACGAACAGTGCACGAATGAAAATTGCCCGAGTTTGGCACGGGGAATTATATTCGTTAATGGTTCGATGTGTCTGCCTCCAGTCGCGGACTTTTGTCGGATCATGGACGAGTTTCGTGCCAACGGCCGAGACTCGCCTCTGGAAGAGCCTCCGGACTTGGTGTCATTATCTCCACACCGCCAGCCAGCGCGCCCCGATTGGGAGCTCCGAGGCGTCCTCTGGTCCCGGTACTGGCAGGTGTGCCGCGACTACAGCGCCACCTACAACAGTGGCGCCACCTACCGCCCGGCCGACCGTGTGTGCGGCGAGTCGGCTCACCACGGCGGCCCGCCGGCGAGCGACGGTCGGCCAGCGATCAACGGTCGCGGCGAGGGGCTCGCCCGATCAGCTCTCGGCGAGCGGCCCGACCTCCCGCCGCACCGGCCCCCGCGCGGCGGCAGGTCAGCGGCACGCAAACGCTCCAAGCAGCCCAACCACTGTGTGTTTTGCAAGAACAACAACGAGCTGCCGTGCGTCTACCGCAGCCACATCCTGAAGGTGAGGGATGGGACATACTGCTGAGTCGGCCGCTAGCACAGTTGCTACCGCTCTCAAATCCGTTTGAGTTTTGTGTTGGATAGATAAGTGGCTAGATTTGGGCTTTGATGGTTTGAAATGTTATTTGGTACATTATAATTATGTTAAATAACAAGTATGTAAAGTTTCAAACATATACGTGACACTGGTGCAGACAATGCGTAAATCTTAAGCGGGATAAGCGGTCAAACAATTAACATCAGACGCACGGAACCTAGCAAGTGAGGATCATATGCTGATATTTACATAAAGCCCTTCGCAATCGGTGAGCCTTCTGCATTGAGCTTACAAACAAAGTGGCCCACAATACCGAGAGCGGGCAATAAATTGTCCCCGCCGGAGGTGCCATATCGCCAATCAGCGCAGGTCTGTATACCGAACTCCCCTCCCCCTCCCCTCGGCAGGACGACCGGGGGCGCATCAGCTGCCCCATACTGCGCGTCTACACCTGCCCCACGTGCGGCGCTAACGGGGACAACGCACACACCGTCAAATACTGCCCGCGGCGGCCGGCGGATCTGGGCGGTCGCCAGTCCGCGCCCTCCGCGCCGCCGCCGCCGCCCCAGCGTCTCGGACGGGCCATCACCAAACGAGGCGGACGCTGAAGGCCTCAGCGCGACACCGGACGGCGCTGAAAGGTCTCGGTGCGACACCGGACGACGTTAAACGCTGTGCCCTTTGCCACGGTGATTTTTTAAATAATTGATCGTTAGGTCGCGGGCTCAAGAGCTTGCTCGCTTGTCAGGCTGCATTGTGCAGAACGTTACGATGTTACGCGCGTCATGTTCATCTTTTTGATATTTGAGTCACTCAATCACACCCAGTTTTACGTGTGCCGTTCGGTGTGCCATTTGCCGATGTGCTGAATTCTTCGCTGAGAACTGGTGTGCCACATTGTTTTCTGAAAAGTTGTACAATATGTCGTGGTGCCTATGACTCTGCAGATCATTACGACTGCGCCTCATGTTCATTTTTTCATATTTAAATCGCCCGATCATATCGAGTTTTGTCCAAGATTTGCATGTTGCAAGGTGTGACATTGCAAACAGATGCATAAATAAAGATGTTGTTGATGCCTGTACTTTTATTTGAATATCCATGTAAAAGCTGAAACCTACGTACCTACGGCTACGTTAATGCCATTGCATGCATTTTAAGTGCCGAGCTCAAACACAGCCTCCCGTCGCCGACACCAAACACTGGCTCGTCCCTCTACAGTTGTTGGTTCTCGAGTTATCGGCTGAGGCTGTATAACGTCTCTCCTCAGAAAGTGAAATCTCTTGGCCACCAGATTTCATAAATATGTCTACCAATACTGAACATTCCTCCGAAAGTGTTGGGTGGTGAAATACCCCAGCGACTGTCGGGTTAACATTCATCGCGCATAACTCTGACAAAATCGTCAGTCTTCATCGTTTTTGCTCTCAGGAGGCCATCGGTTTACCTGAGGGTCAAATATGAGACATGGCGTGCGAGACAGGTTTAACCCGCGCCCTGATGGGGGGCATTTTGGGCCCCCCTGTGGTTTTTCTTAAATAGCGAGAAAACGGCGGGCGCGCAGCGCCGCCAAATTTTAGGTACCTACATTACCGGGTATCAAGTTGACACCTTCACACAAAATTTCAAGTCACGGGTCACCTCGGGTCAGGAGTTATTGAGGTCAAACTGAGGTCATGTTCGAATAAAAATGAGCAAAAACATGACATCTTGAAACGCTCACCAGTTCTACAGTTAACAAGCAATTTAAAAGTTCTTTATGTGGTTGTGTAGAGAAAAAACGGCGCTACAAAACTGTTATCTCGGATTTTCGAAATTTTGGGATTTTGACCCCCCCAAAAAAGATTTAAAAAAAAACTTATAAAATTTCCAACATTTTTTTTTTAATTTCGAAAAAACCGGAATATATGTGATAGTCCCTCCGCTCTTCGATATACATACCAAATTTTAGATCGATACCTCTTTTTTTTGGCCAAGTTATAGGGAAAAAACTGTTAAAAATTGATGACGTCAAATTTTTGAACTCAATTTTTGGCAATTCTAGACCTCGTAACGCAAAACAACGACCATCATTGAACTCCCCGTGACGAGCTGCACCGAATCGATGCCCATTTTGTGCAAAAATATCAACTTTGAAATTTGACCTAATTTGACCTGACCTTGACCTGACCTTCACCAAAACATAATCTCAACTGACCCCAAGGGCTGCCTGTCCCACATATACGCATTTGGCATATAAAATGGACCATAAACATGCATCACATGATATTTTTAATTTGTGACCCTCAGTGAACTGACCTCTGTGACCTGACCTGGTATTACCCAGCCAGCAATTTTGCTCCGGGCCCAAGCAGGCTCAAGTGCGGATTGCCCGAGATTTTTAGTCGGGCTAAAGTCGGCTAGGGCTTGGGCTAAAGTCGGCGTATGACACAAATACGCCGACTAAAGCCCATGCTCTGCCGGAGGTATGCCCGCTCTGCGACCTCCGGACAGCCGTAGTTTAGCCCTAGTTGAGCGACGATTGGCGTTAGCCCGATTTAAGCCCGAGCAGTGAATCCATTTATATAATGGAGATTACTCTGGGCCCGAGCGGGCTGAACTCCGGCAAGCCCACTCTGTGTGCCCTGTCTATCCCGACTTAAGCCATAGAAGTGAATGGAGTTTATACATTGCAAACTGCTGTGGCTTTGCTCGGGTTCGGCTCGAGTGATGGCTCCTGTTTTCTCAAGTCTCGACTTGACTTCATCTTGCTTTTGCTTCACACTGGATCAAGTAGCAAGGAGCAGCCAATGCACTTTCAGCAGGTTGTGCGGTTTCAATGCATATTTAAAATTGTTACGGTCACTCATGCTCTGTTAACCGGTCATCGAGGCTCGAGCATTGCAAAAGGAAAGTAGTGGTTGACTTTGACTGAATGTATATTTCAAACGACTACAGACACGTCAAATGAAACTGTAATAGAATTTAAACAACCGAACACCAGTAGCGCCCAAAAGTCTCTCGTTTATTCACAAAATTCTCCAAACAAATTTGCACGTACAATTATTTCCGCGTGGAATAATTTCACGCACTTCAATAATCATACCACTTCTGACACACGCCCCTCTGATCTTCAAGATCACTAAAACGCACACACACAAAATATCAAAAACATTATCTTCGGTCATAAAACCGCGGCCAAACCGTGCACCTTAATCGGTCAACAAACCGGAGCACTCGCCGCTCACCACCCAGGCACCATCACCGGGCACCATCGCCGGTCTCCAGCACCGGTCTCCAGCACCGGGCTCCATCACCGGGCTCCATCACCGGGCTCCTCCAGCACCGGTCTACAGCACCGGGCTCCACGACCAGTCACCATCACCGGGCTCCATAACCGCGGTCTCCAGCACCGGGCTCCACCACCGGGCTCCATCACCGGGCTCCACCACCGGGCTCCATCACCGGTCTCCATCACCGGGCTCCATCGCCGGTTACCATCACCGGACTCCAGCACCGGTATCCAAACTGGACAAAATCGAATCGATCGTTGGTTCGTTGTCGTGCCTCGCCTCTTCACCATTTTTAGCTTTCTTTATCTTCCCTGCCGAATTTTCCGTTATAATACAATACCGTAACTAGACCGAGATAAGGCCGAAATAGCTTGTAATAGAATTTAAACAACCGAACACCAGTAGCGCCCAAAAGTCTCTCGTTTATTCACAAAATTCTCCAAACAAATTTGCACGTACAATTATTTCCGCGTGGAATAATTTCACGCACTTCAATAATCATACCACTTCTGACACAGAAACACAAATACATGAAACAGTGGACTGCAAACTGCAGCAGTAACATGGCATGAGTCATGAAAAACGCCATCAAAACTATAAAACAATCACAAGGCCCGCTAGCCTCCCTCCCCGTTCATAATACTTGGTTAAACACTCAACTGAAAGCATAAAGTAAGGACAGCAAGTAATCGCTCATAAGACATAAAGCAATAAGCAAACAATCGTTTATAAGGAACTTCACTCTGGTGAATGGGAGCTTTGGAGGCGTCTGGCTCCTCCACACACACACATCTGCAGTAGGTGGTCGGCCAGCTTTCGGCGCAGTTTCCGTATATGTAGGTATACCTACTTAATTATAAGCAGGCAGTTTCCGCTAAACCACTTGGCGAGGGCGACTGCGGCGTCCACCCGGTCCTGGTTTGTATAACTATTCCATTTTTGGAAACATTTGCTCTAATGGTACGTACCTGAAAAAGAGATTAGTTGGTTTAATTTACATTGCATGTTTGCTTGAAAAATAACTTATTGATGCATTAATACTGTAAAAACACTTCTCATTGATCCGTATAAAATGTTCATTTGATTTTAAATGCGGACAGAGAATGAGCGTGCTCGGTGATAAGTAGATAAATATTTGTGTTTTATATTTCATTTTCCTGGGTCAGAAGTGCTGTTATTTCAAAAAGATATAAAGGCACGGAATGCAGCTTTTCTGAGCGAGGGTATAAGTCGCCAGGCTGAACAGCTATTCAGCTTCATGTTTGATGGCGTCAAACTCAGTCAAAATCATGACGTTTACATACGATCAAGCGCACCATTCAATACACTTACCTACTGTAAAACTCCATGCCAGTCCACTTGATAAGAGCAGTGAGCACTATCCCTTCTTCGCGCTGTCACACGCGCCCAAACATCAACCACCAAATGCCCCAACACCGGTGTGTCGTCTCGTCGCACAGCGCACAGACTGTCACAAACGCTGCACATGATTGGCGCAGAACTGCGCATGCGCGAACAGCCGAACAAGTATGGCTAAGCTCCGGCTTTACTCCAGTTAGCCGAAGGACATAGCCAGCTTGATCAGTCCGCGCTCCGCCCAAGTTAAGCCTGTTTTGGATGCGCGGGCAGATGTCGGGCTGAGCTATACTGCTATCCGCACGTGGGCATAGCTGCGGCATGCCCCAGCTCAGCCCTAGTAAAAAATACATTGGTTTTGATCAAAGTGGGCAAACCCAAGCTAAGCCCAAGCTGCCCGACGCTTGCCACAGTTCAGCCCAAGCGAATTGCTGGCTGGGTAGTGACCTCAAATAGCAAAATTTGTGTTTTACCTACTAGCATTTCTCCATCGATGATTTTCAATGAAATGCATTTTACTCGATTTTACAACGCATTTCTTGAAATGCCTGTAAACGGTGAAAATTCGACCTTTGACCTGACCAGTGACGTCATCGGTTTGACCGAGGTCAATGAAATTGGGTAACAAGATAGTTCTTCGTTGGGGCTATCCAACGCCGTTTGCGGCTTGTCGCTATGTTGCGTGGTTCTCGAGATCTTAGGGGGGGGGGGGGGCAAAATGGTTCCCCCCATCAGACCGCGCTGCTCGGCAGACCCCATCAGGGCGCGGGTTAACCACCACAGGACCTATTGGTTTTCTGCTATACGTCCCGGCCGGGGGGGGGGGGGGGCACGACCCCATCGCCGTTTCGCCCCTAATGGAGCTAGAGCTTCGCAGATAAAACGAGCATGTGTCCCGTTACGAGACGCAGCGACTGGTACCCGATTTTAAGGCCTCAGGTCAGGTGCCCCAAGGTACGGGATGGGTTTGTGGTACATCACTTCGCGAAAAATGGCCGCAAAGCCGCAATTTTGGCACCATCGTGTTTTCCATGCCCAGCTCCCCTGTGACTGATCTGACCTCAGGTGAGTTTAAAGGGACTATCCCACCTTTAACATGGGGTTTGAGTTGAGATAGCCAAGTTTGCGGCGAGGTTCAGAAACCACTATCTATCTAGGTTGCAACCTCCGCGGCCTCTTGGTGTTGAAGAAATTCGTTCCCTTCATTTGAAAATGGGCCTTGTACAAGGCCCTATCTTCAACATGGAGCGACCCTTAGTGTGACGTCACCTCGTTTAGTCATTCTGATTTAAATGGGTTTGTTCGTTGAAAAATCGCTTAAAACTTGGTCTGAACTTTGTTGTGGTGCCTACAGAGTAAAAAGAATCAGCTTTATGACAGTAATGTGGCCTGGGGAAGGAGGTAATTTTGGGCTGTGACGTCACATATTTGAAAGTTTGTGTTTGGAAT